TATGCATAAGACAGTTGGACCATGAATAGGGTTGATAGAAAGAAAATTGATGCCTTTGAGCTTTGGTGCTGGAGAAGAGTGTTGAATAAACCGTGGACCGCTAGGAGAACAAACAGGTTTGATCTGGAGAAGGTGAAGCCAGAAGGCTCCTTGGAGTCAAGGATTCTGAAGCTTCATCTGACATACTTTGGGCATGTTGCAAGGAGGGACTTGTCCTTGGAGAGAGACATCATGTTTGGCAGAGTGGAGGGGCAGTGAAGGAGAGGAAGACCTTTTATGAGATGGATCGATTCTGTGACTGGAGTGGTGGGAAAAAGTGAGTCTGAGATGGCTAGGTTGGCACAGGATAGAATAGCGTTTGTAGAAGAGCTCATGTACATAGGCTCGCTATGAGTCACAAACAACTTGATGGCTCATAACAACAACTTATGTCATATTTTGTGAGATGCAATTTTAATTTCCTGGTAATGAATTTTATAAATATAAACACCTAAAATGTTTAATCATGCTAAAATATTTCCATCTACACTATTTAAGATGCAAGTTTCTTTTTATGTCATTTTTTTCAAGTTACGTCTGAAATAAATTTTTCACCCGAGTTTCTAGAATATATCTTTATGTAACCAGATAGTTACTTTTTCTGCAAAATTTAGTTATATATCCTCACATTTCCATCTTATAGTAGCAATTTCTTGTTATTTATTTGTTTAGGTTTTTCATTCATTTAGTGATACACATTTCCCTCCCCATCCCTTTCCATTCATTTTCTAATATATATTGCCACACACATAGTGTCTAATCAGCCACTAATTTCAGATTAACTTTTCCTTCACTCATTCGAATACATTTTTCTTTATCTACCCATAATTTTTAGGATTTCCCCTCTTCTTTCCTAGCCTTGATTTCATGTTCTTTAGAGAAGTGGCATCAGCAATTTAACAAAGACAGGGAACTGATTATTAACATATGTATCAACAGGGATGATTGTCCAGCACATTTTGCTAAATTAAAGAAGTTTCAAGGAACAACTTATAAAATTCATTTTAGATAATATTGTGGAAAAACTAAAGTATGGAAACAGAACACAGGCTGGCAAAAGCTAGGGATTATAGTTCCAGAAAAGACTGATGAATTTTGTAATAGGAAGAGAGTTTTTTCGGTGACATATTGTTGTGTATTTTAGATTGTGACAGCGTTTAAATGTACTTCATTATTTTGTAGAAATCCATAAAACTATATGGAAGAGCTTTACTATATGTAACTGAAAATAGATGCATAAAATGTTTAAATATATTTATACGAAACAACTGCTAGTAGTCAAATGGTCTGAAAAATATAATCAATAAATAGAGTATGTAAGAATACAAAATTAAAGTCTATAAGTAAAATTAAAATACCTTCAGATAATAGTATATTTAAAAATTCAGCCCAGAAAAGAATGAATTGATTTTTTCCAAAATATATAATTTACATATTAAGAGTCTAGTAGAAAGCAATAAAGTAATTTTTGTTTAAAAAGTAAATTTCCATCAACAGCTTAAAAAATAGCCTAAAGGCCTAAATTTAGGAAGGCCATTTATCAAATACATTAAGAACAGGTAAATTTCTAAATTATTTTGTTGAATGAGATAAAATAAGATAATTTCAAAATTACTCTGAAAGTAATGTTTTGACATATTTTTTAGTACAGTATAAACATTTCTATTTTTGAAGATAGAGCTTTATGAATAATTTCCATATAGATGCTTTGATCTCCTTATTTCTAAGACTATATATGATAGGATTCAGAAAAGGGGGTAAAACTGTATATGCCATAGCAATCACCAAATCCTGAATAGATGAAGATTTGGCAATTGGTCCCATAGCAGCAAATAGTCCTGTAGTGAGGAAGAGCACAGTGACAATTACCTGTGGGGAGCAGGTGGAGAAGGCTTTTGCTCTGCTCTCTACTGATGGGATCTTGAACACTGTCAAGAAAATCTGATAATATGAGATGACCATGAGAAGAAAGCATCCCACAACCAAGCATGAGCTCAGAGCCAAAGTCAAAAACTCAACAAAGAAAACCTCACAGGAAACCAGGGCCAGGACATGAGGAATGTCACAGAAGAACTGATGAATCCTGTTAGATCTTGAAATTGGCTCCCAAAACATATTGCCAGTGTGGACTGCAGCATATGAAAAACAAACTAGCCAGGCTATGCCTGCCATCTGGTAGCACTTTTCTGGTGTCATCATGGCTCCATATTGGAGGGGATGGCAAATGGCCACATAACGGTCATAGGACATGACAGTGAGAAAGGCGAGCTCAGCAGATGCAAAAGCAAAGAAAAAATAGACTTGAGCTACACAGCCAAGATAAGAGATGGAATTATTGTGCATCAGGGAGCTGTGAATGGACTTAGGCATGGTTACAGACACATAGCATAAATCCAAAAAGGAGAGGTTCTTCAAGAAGAAGTACATGGGTGTGTGAAGACACTGATCAAGAGTAAGGACCGTCATGATGAGGAGGTTCCCCATCAGGGCTGCGAGGTAAATCAACAGAAAGAGCCCAGCATGCAATATCTGAAGCTCCCAGCTGTCTGAAAACCCTGAGAGCAGGAATTCTGTTACTTCCGTGAAATTGTCCATTTGGCAGGGAAATCTAAGTCCTGATTGTTGGAGAAAAAAAAGTACTTATTAAAATAAGGTAAAGAAACAAGAAATATTTTTATTAACACTGTTATCGCAGTTATTTTCACTTTTAATACGTTGCAAGTCCACTGAGTGTCTTCTACACTGTTAAAGTAAATGGAATAATGATCAACAGGCTTTATTAGATGAAAGAGTTTTGAGAGGTTTGTGTCTTAGTCTTCAAAAATTAAGCAGTTTCAAACAGTTTCTGATCATTTCTGTGCATCTATTATACAATCTTACAGCAAACACAAAGTTAAGCTTTTTTTCTTAAAATTATCTTGGGTGCTTGACTGAAATAGTCTTAAGTTTGAAGACAACTCTAATGAAAACTTTTAGACTGAAATAAAGAATATGCTTTTAATATTAACTCTGGGAGATTTTCAATGAAAAAATTGAATAATAACTGGTTACATACAGCTTTCTGCTCAATAAATTTTGTAGCATGCCACTTTAGAACAGAGGCACTCTTTGTGGCCTAGTGGTAAGAAACTGCACTGCAATCCCAAAGGCATGTGGTTCAAATCCACCAGCTGCTCCACAGGAGAAGGATGGGCAATCTCCTGAGTGATTAGCCGCCTCTGAAAACCTGTTGGAGGGTCAGCTATGAATCTGTTCCAACTCACCAGTTCACAACACAACTCTTTATTGCTCTGGGTAGAAAGCTGTGCTACCAACACAAAGGCAGGTGATTCAAATCCACCAGTGGCTTCATGGGAGGAAAATAAGCAATATCCCCCCAGGCGATTTACAGACTCAGAGAACATTCTGAAAAGTGTCATCTATAAGCTAGTTCTCACTCAGTGGCAGATAACAATGACAACAGGAGAGAAGCAGGTTTGGCATGCAGGGGGAAGTGTGGATTCCTGAGCTTGAAGCTGATGCTCCTTTGAACCATAGATGGCTGGAAATGAGTTGACCAGAACCCCACCAGATAAAGAGAAGAGCCATGCTATGAGGTAAGGTTGATTGCTGCATCCTGATGGCTCGCTCTGGACTGGACTTTGGTTGCAGATGCAGATACTCAAAGTTTCCAAGTTGAACAGACGATCCCTCAGCTAAAGCAACATATTTTTACCCTTACAGTTCTGATTTGATAGGGCAAATCAGAAATTGGCAATCTAAAAGGGGCATATATTAGGGCGTGAGGCACGAAGTAGTAGCTGGTTTACATGCTTTCATAAATGTAGTTATCAGTAAGAAAATTGTAAGGGAAAATAAAATGCTAAAATATATATGAATAAAAGATAATGCAAATAAGAGATTGTATGAAACACAATGTGGATGCATGAGATACAAGGTAGATGAATGATAAAAATATTAATAAAAAAGAAAAGGAAAACAAACACCCACATACAGAAACCCTGAAAAGAATATGACTTAAAAAGTAATTTTGAAACTTTCTGCCTAGGATAAGGGAGAAGTATTCTATGCAAATGCACAAAGCACAATAGTTATACAACTATTGAAAACATTTGCTTTTTGTTAGCAATTATCCCCTGATCTTTGTATACCTTAACCTATTTATATTCACAATGGCAGTATGAGGTAATATCTCTTACTGTTATTCTTGTTTTATAAAGGAAGAGACTGAAGTATGAATGAGAATAATTAATGAATAAAAACAATTAATTTGCCCAAGGTGAAAAAAAATAAACTTGAGCTGGCATTCCAAATGTGACACTAATTTAAGCTTAACAATAGATTTTTTCATATTTCATTTCCAAAGTATGTAAAATAATTATTATATTTCCACTGATAGTCACATTTTTGTTTCAAAAGTAAAAAAAAATCTTGCATATGGATGTAGTTAGTTTGCTTTTTACTGAAAAAAATCACTAGTAAATCATTCCTTTTCTTTTGTGCTGAAGGAAATTTAGAATTGAGTATCTCCAAACCATTGTTGTTTAATAAATTCTGACTCACAGTGATTCTATCACGTTTCTGAGAATACAAATTTCAGAATTTATTTATTACGATAGCTGGTAGATTCAAACTGATAATCTTTGGATTAGCAGACCAACACTTAACTCATTAAATCACAGAAACTCATTAGAATTAAGGGACTCCTGATGGCATGGTGGTAAGGAATTACATTACCAACATAAAGGTTGTTGTGTATGTAGAGTCAGAACAGACCCATAGCTGGCCCTGCGGGTGGGTTTTCAGAGGCAGTTAATCACATGGGAGGAGATTGCCCATTCTTTTCCAGCGGAGCAACTGGTGACCTCAAATTGCAATGTTTTGGGGACTGCAGAACAAGTTCTTGCCAGTAGGCCACCAGAGCTCTTCAACATAAGTGTACATTGTTCAAATAAACTTGCTACTCAGAGTGATATTTACGGCTTCGGAAAACCTACTAATAGTCTCCTATGTGCTGGTTCTGATTTGGCAGTAATCAACAAAAACAATACAAATTATATACATTTATAAAATTTTTGTCTGCACATTATAGATACATACTACATATACAACTTTCACATTTACATAGTAATAAATGAGTAATTTTTCATTTGGTCAACAAATCTTTGGTATTTAACTACAAAAAAGGGCAAAATTCTCCTATACACACTTTCTGTATGTAGTAGATACAACTTTTTTATTATTTTAGTGAATTTTTTAATTGTAAAGTGCATCGAATAAAATATTTAATGAGATTATGATGTTTCAAAGTGTGTCTATTTAAAGTCACACGTCTTCTGAGGAAAAATTGGTGATATTATGAATTCTCTTTGAAACAGAATAAAGGTTTGTGACTTTATATATCCAAATATGCCAACTGAGATGTTTCTGAGATCTCACATGAGCACCTCAGCTACTTTCTCTCTTTATTGCCGGCAGAATGTTACGGTCAAAAAGGGACTATTCTAAATGGCACGAAGGCATGCAGTGAGAACACTCTTATTTCAGCTTGACATTGCTATCTTCTTAAAGACTGTTCCAGGGCAAAATGTATCCGAAATACCACTTGATTTTGCAGGAGTCAATGTTTACTCTAGAGAAGATCATGGAGCCTTTATATTATTTTAGCTGAGATTACAAAGACCTCTAAGAAGGCAATCCTTTTAAGTTTTATGTTGGTTTCCATAAAAAGTTCATATACTTTGCATATCAATTGTGGACATTGTGTTTCATTTTAGCCAGGGTGTTCTATTACGTGCAGGAGCATGAACATAATGGAATCTTTGGATTTTCCGAATTACCTACAGTAATTTTTTCCCTTTATGAAGACTCAACCTAAGTATAACTTGACTGCATAAGAGTATCCAAACTTCATTTTTACCTCCTCTTAAACGTAAACTTTTCTCTCAAAAAAGGTATAATTTCATAAAACAATGCTTAGACATAACTTCAACTTGTTCTGACATTCCTAGTTGTTTGAAGTTAGAGAAATAAGAAACAAATTTGATTTTCTACTTTCGACATTTAAGGAGATGAGTTCTTTTCCCCTTTCAGCTCTCACATCATGTAAATTTGATCTATACTAATCAATGCATTTTATCTGAGTGGTTTTAAAGTCTAAAAAAAATTATCTCTCACACTACTTTTTTTTGAGAATGGACATTAATGTTGGGAAACAAAACCAAAATCAGTGAGTTGTCCAGCACTATGAGCTGCTTCTTTTTTCCAAGCATGATTAAATAGTTAAATAACCTATTAAGCAGGGATTGCTTAATTATTTTGGTTTTGTTTTCCTTCAACATTTATTTCCAAAACTTCAACACTAAAATAACAATCAAACATCTTTAATAACACTTCTGTCATGAAGGTTTTATTCCACAAAAATATCCACTGACTTGGGTAATTATTTACACGTATTTTTTGCAAGTAGATTCAGTCCCCTTAGTGGGCAAAAAGCTGAGAAGAACAGAAATAATACCTTGATGAAAGTTCATTGTTATTCTCAATATTCATGTAGTTTCCGGAATAATGATGGAAAGACAACAGTTCTGATGTCTGCCTCTGTTTTCTTCTAGAAACCAATTTAGTGTGCAAGCTCATAAATGAAGAAACGGATGTGTATAACATAACAAGGAGAAAATCTCTGCCAAATGTCTACAGAGACAGGGTCCCTGGAGTGTGGATGGATTGGAGTTCAGAGAAAACCCTGGGAGATATTAGCCTCAAGTGGATGAAGACCTTTTTCCAGGTCAAATGGAAGAATACCTTCTGGTAAGAATCCAGTATATGTAACATATATTAACAGAACTCAAGTTCAATAAACTAATGTGGAACATGAGAGTGTACAGATTTTAATTAAAATAGTGAAGAAAAATTAATGAGTTAATAATTTAAAACATCAATTTAATAAAATAACTTTTGACACAAAAGAGCATCACTAAAATCATATTACAATGTGATTAATTGTCTTTTCTAGGCAGTTTCTTTTAATTGGAAACTATATTGATTTTATGAACTCGTCCTTCTCATTTCCTCCTTAACTATCGATCCATTACCAAGAAGTAGGCCAAGAGAGACAAAACAACTCACAGCTGACCCTCCAGACGGTTTCAGAGGTAGTAAATTTCACATCAGGAGCTTGTTCATCTTTCTCCAAGGCAGAGCCTGATAGACTTGAACCCTCATCACTAAGTCATCACTAGAGTTCCCTTTAATTAGAAGAGTGAAGAAAGTATAAAGAATGTATAATTTCACAATACAATACTTAACAAAGAAATTTTCACCAAGTTAAAAATTTTATAATCATAAAATCAATATGATTTATTGTCCTGCTTCCTCATTAGACAATTTTTTCCTACTAGAAAATATGTTGATTTTGTGATATTATTGTGCTTATTTCTCTCAAATCAATTGACCCAAAACCCAGCAGTAGACTAAGATGGGGAAAAACTGGAGAAGGTAATTTGGAGAAATTAACAATGACAAACTCAATACGTACTTTTACCACTTCAGTTTTCAGATGAGAAAACAGAGGTAAGAGAGATTTTATGAAATAG